TAATGTTTCTTCTACGGAAAGTTTGGCTTTAGGGAGAATATTTCTCTCTAAGTTGTTAGTGTATTTTGGGCTTGAAGTTTATGTAGTGTGAAGGAAGTTGAGAGAGCATCCAGAGTGGGGGAATTTGAGTCTGGGCTCATGGCAGGGAGGCAAGAAACGAGTATCTCTGAAAAGAGAAATACCACTATCGTGGCTAGTTTTTGAAGCTGCAGTGTTGTTAACTGAACTTGTTTGCTTGTAGCATGGATCCTCTTTGGAGCGAGCTCTTTAAATTACTGCAATTATAAAGCTTTACATGCACGACACAAGTGCACTATTTTTTCCACTGTGTGCTTTGTTCAGGTACCATCATGGATAATCGGGTGTCAAGCACAGCAGAAGAGAATGAAGTGGGTTCTATGGCAGGTGAAGGCTTCATTGAGGTTCTTACTAAAAAGCAGCGTCGTTTGCTGGAAGAGGAGCGCAGGAAGAAGGAACAGGCCGCTCAGGTGAGGAATGGGAAGCAGGAAAAGTTGGACCTGTTACATTGTTTGGATAGCAGTCAGAGAAACAGGACCTCAAAAAGCGTTTGGATGAACAGAAAAACACAGTTGGCTGAAGTAGTACAGATCCTGTCTTAGGCCCCTGAAGCATATTTAGGCTTGGGTTGGTTGGTCTGAAAAAGAGGGTTTGATTTCTGACTCTTCTTGGCCTCTAGCAGAATTGTTAATTGGGAGTTAAGGAGGGTTTTTTGGAGTGGTCTTCATTCAGAGCAACTTGGCTCAGTAAGCCAGCATGAGCTGTGAGGGACTTCTGCACTCTCACTGTGTTATTGCTATAAAAAAAAAAGCATGCTGCTGAAGGCAGGTTTCTTCAGGGGCTTGTTAGACTGGGGGAACCTCCCAGTCTGACACCTGGGCCTTTCCTGTCACAGGCACCAGCTAAGGCCCGTGTTCTTCAGTCTCGCATTCCTCCTCGGTTTGCTAAGAAGCAGAACAGCCTGTGCTTGGAGCAGAGTGATGTAACAGTGTCTGGAAACAGCCTGGGCACAGAGATCTGGGAGAGCAACAGCCCAGGTAAGTTTGGGTCTGTTTGTTCCAAAGGGTTTCACAGAGCTGGGGAATCCTCTGGGGTGTACAGAAAGGATGGGGTCCATGCTTGAGAGGAGACAACCCTCTCCTATCTGATGCTGGAAGTGGGAGGGGAGGTAGCAGACATCTGGAGTAGCATCTGTTCTAAGCTGTACTGTTCAACCATCCTCCTTCTTTGTTGACCATGTTAGTCTCCTAATCTATTTCTTTTTTGTGTCACATCCAGATTCTACTATACAGCATTTTCTATCCAGTTGGGCTGGATCTCTTTTAGCTGTTTTCTTGTTTTGCCTTCCTGCATTTTCTCATCTCTAGCCCTGAATAGCTGGTGCCTCCCTTGTTTCTGTCTGTCCTGTCTTTCTCCTGTTGTCATCATGTTCCCTAAGAAATCTCCCTGTTCTCTACCCTCACTCCCCATACCCTGTATTCTCTGCTGCATCATATCTCAGATGTCTGGGCAACACCAGCTTTCTGAAGTGGTTAAAATACCCTTTCTCATGTCTAGAAATGGAAGGTTAATGGTGTAACATGCACAGTGTACATGGTGTGCTCACAGATGTTCTGAGCAGCTGAGCCCTGCCCTCCATTCTCTTCCAGCTCTTTCCGTTCAGTCTCCTGGCAGTGATTCCTGGAGCAAGCCTGTAAATACCTTTAATGGCACTGAGTCTGGCACCACTGAGGTAAGTGGCATCTAATGTGCCCTTCAGGTATTGTGTGGATAAAGTATTAATGCAGGTGGCTTTTATGCGTTTCATTGCTCCATCTGTGCTTAGTGACTCTCAGCTCTGCTTGTGCCATTTTAAACTGTCTCTTTGCAGTTATAACTTGAGCTTGATGCTGCTCAACTCTTGACCCCGAGGGCCAAGCGCTGCTTGGTGTTATATGTGGGTATAAATCTGGAGTAACTGTGTGGTAGAGCTATTCCAGGGTTATGCTCATCACTGGATGCAGGCTATGGTTGAGGAGGATGGAATCCCATAGGTCCTGTTTGTGCCTCATGCCTGTGAGCAGTGTGTGAGCCCTCCACTTAACGCAGGGAGGGCAGAGGAAGGAGGTTCCTGAATGCTTCACCTCTGGAGGCCAAGAGTTCAAATTTGCTGTGGGTCACACATGAAATGAATTAGGCAGTGTCCTCCTAGTCTCTGTGTGTGACACTTTTTCCTTACTCTGAAGCCATGGCCTGTTTGTTGCATTGGTTCACTGTCTCAGGGCCATGTAGAGCTGAAGCAGCGGCCAAGGGGTGCTGCAGGTCAGGCCCAACTCCCTTGCAGTTCACCAAGAGCGTGATTTGAAAGGGGAACATGATCTTGCTGTTTTCTGGGATATTTTTTTCTCCTTTGTGGAGCTGGGTCGGTGTCCGGGGCTTTAACACATCTCGTGCTTTGCATAGCAGGGATTTAAAGGCAGCCAGGGGGATAGTGGCATTGACTTGAGCGCGGAGTCTCGGGAATCCTCCGCGACCTCCTCTCAGCGCAGCTCTCCATATGGCACCCTCAAACCAGAGGAGATGAATGGGGCTGGCCTGGTGGACCCAAAGCCTGACTGCCAGAAGGAGCAAGTGCAGAAGCAATCTGATAAAAAGGTAATCTGGATTTGCAGCCAAGCCAGAGCGCAGAGCGAGAGACCTTGTGAAGTGGTTATGTTCTTGATAGCATTTTTTAAGGCTTGAGATTGGGTTATTCGGTCTTTGTGTCTCAGCTTCTCTGCTTTCCTGTTAAGGATTCAGATCAAGGCTCAGGACAGAACAAGGAACACAAGCCTGGACCAATCGGCAACGAACGCTCCCTGAAAAACAGAAAGGGTTCGGAGGGAACGGAACGGCTGGAAGGGAATATTCCCCCTGTTAATGGGGTGGAAATTCACGTGGATTCTGTACTTCCTGTGCCACCCATTGAATTTGGAGTGAATCCTAAAGTGAGGATTGAATTTAATTTTATCTTCTTGGTGATTTGAGCTTGTTGAGACATGACAGATGGTTTGAGGCAGAAGAACTATTTAGAGGAAGCATCCAGCTGTAGATTTGCCTTAGAACTTCGTTGCTGATACAAACCAGGTACTCAAGGTGTCTTGGGAAACATGTAGTATCCACTTGAAAATACTGTCCCAAGGACCAGCTGGGGTGGTAACAGAGGTGAGGGGAAAAATTATGGCCATCTGAGCCTCCATGTGCCTCTGGGGGTTGCCTGCTGCTGAGTGCTGAGAAGTGTCTTCTGTTCTCTTCCAGCAAGGCTTTACTAGAAGACAATCTTTAGTTTGTAGTGCCATGATTCAAGATAGAGTCATTAACCATGAGAAGTGGATGGGTGGGCCCATGGACCTGGATTTGAATTTTGTGTGTTTTGCTTTTTCAGGACTCTGACTTCAGCTTGCCACCTGGTTCTGCCTCTGGCACTGCAGCTAACCCTGTCACCAAATTGCAGGATGCCTTGGCCAGTAATGTAAGTATTTCTTCTTTTTGGCATTGATTCATTCATTGGAGATACTCTTTATTTAAGCCTCAGTTGCTTTCAAAGGGAGCAGATGTATCTCTGCAAATGAAAGTTACTGGATCAAACTGATGTTTAAGTGGAAGCTGGTATAATTCAGCATAGAGGGGTGTCCTTGCACAGAACCAAACCTTCATTTATTCTGAGAGCAAAATGGGTCACAGTTGAATGTGATACTTGACTCCTGCAGTAGCGCTGGGGATTGAATCCTTTGAGGTGTAGTTACAGGAGCTGCCAGCTGAGGCTCTGCCAGCCTTGGTGGCTCATGACATTGTCCTAAGAGCTTACAAATATTCACCCTGCACAACTCTCCCCCCAGGCAGGGTTAACGCAGTCCATTCCCATCCTGCGAAGGGATCATCACCTCCAGCGCTGCATCGGCCTGAACCCCATGTCCTTCCCCACTGCAGACCTCACTCTTAAGGTAAGCAAGCTGGCATGTATGCTTGGCTTAGGTGTGGATCTCCGTGGGAAGAGCAGTGAGGGTGGAGAGGTCTTTCCCAGAGTGTTCTGTTAAGTATTGATAAACCTTTAATTAACTCCTGTAAAAGTTGTGCATATCTGCTATTTGATGTGAGTGCAAGGCCCTCTCTTTCAAGTCCTGGATGCTGAAGTCCTTGCTAATTGTAGAACAAGTGTAACAGAGCTTTCCTACTATTCCTGTAGCTGGGTAGGATGGCTGGTCAGTGATGCTGGGTGACTGATGGTTTAAAGAGGGGGAAACAAAAAAACAAACAAACTCCACCCAAATGTACAAACAACAGCAACAAGAAAAAAACAAATAAACCAGAACACAAAACTCTACCATCCCAAACCCCAAAAGCTCAGCAAATACCAGGGGGTTTGAGTGTTTGTGAAGGATGCTTGTCCCTTGACCTGAGACCTGCCAGCTTTCTACTGTGACTAGACAACAATGAATTTGAGCTCATAAGTCACAGGAGCACCTCTAGGCTTTGGTATTGTCCTCCCCATTTGAACTGTCTGTAGTTATTGTCCTTCATTTCCGTAGATGGAGTCTGCTCGTAAAGCTTGGGAAAACTCTCCTAGTTTACCAGAACAGAACTCCCCAGGAGGTGCAGGCTCAGGCATCCAGCCTCCTTCCAGTGTTGGAGCTTCCAATGGCGTCAGCTACAGTTCTTTTGGTGGAGTTTCTATGCCTCCCATGCCTGTGGCATCCGTAGCACCTTCTGCATCTATTCCAGGTACCTGCAAACTGCAGCAGCAATGTTTGCATTGTTGGGGTGGTATCTGGGAATCACCCTCTGATTCTAGTAAATGAGAACACAGAAGAGCTTCCATGTAAAGTAACTAACTAGCTGGTGTTAAATGGGTTCTTAACAATTCAACCAAGACAGAAAGAGGAACTGTCTCCCCACTTTGAAGAATGTTGAGTGTGACTTGTACAAACTTAGCACAAGGACAACTTACCCTGTGTAGTGGCAAGTCTCTCTGATGTCTCAGTAGATCATCCTTACCATTCACTTTGTGTGCTCAGTAGAATAGATTGGAAGAGACCTATGGCTGAGAGACTTGCAACAGTCCTAATATCAGTATCAACCATTCCTCTGCTTCTTCTGCCATTGAAGTCACAGGTTCTGAGCACCTCCTGCTCTTCATATGTAATAACAAATTGCTTAGAGTTCACAGAACTCTAGGAGGTGGGAGGGTGTTGCTGTTCTTGAGTTAGAGGAAAAGGTTAAGCTCAGTCATGTTAGATAGTGTGTATAATTAGGGAGAGCATCTGGGAAGAGCAAATGTACTTGGAATTTCTGACTCCTGGGTCCCAAAGGGCTTCTCATGTGTGCACTGACTTTCTCACGTCTCACTTCAAGAATAGAATGGAATGTGTAGTGACTTTGTTATTAGCTTCCATTGGGAAAACAGATTGTTCCAAGTCAGGTGGCTTCCCTCCTCACCCACTCTAATCTTGGTTCTAAATCCCATGGTTCAGATCTGCAGAGAACCACAGGAGTGGCACAGCAGTTACTACCTGGTGCCACCCTTGGGGTGAACTCAGCTTTTAGATCTGTTGTGTGAAGGTCTCAAACACCGTGTTTGCTCTTTCTGTCCCTCCCAACTGCAAAGATGAGGTGATTGTAGAGCAGGTTTCTGGCATTTAGGAACAGTTTGGAGTATAGTTCACCAATTCCTGAACTGTTAGTGTCTGACTCTTCTGTGGAGGTGGGAAACCTCGGTACTATGTATTGACTTGCTGAGAGCTTGGAAATAGTCTTGACCTCCACGTTTCTAGAGTGTGCCTGTATCTTCCCTGTACCTTGAATTTACAGCCTACCTTCTCTGATGTTCAGGTAACCATATTCCACCCCTGTATCTGGATGGCCACGTGTTTGCAAGTCAGCCCCGCCTGGTCCCTCAGACGATACCTCAGCAGCAAAGCTACCAACAGGTAAGGGAGCAACACAGCTTGCAGATGGTTTCTCAGGGAGTCTTCAGGGTGGCATTTAAGAAATTAGGAGTAATTTATCTGTATCATAGCCCAGAGGAGCTTGGATGTGGCTCCCTTTAGGTTCCTTGAATGCTGCTTCCCACTGCATGCCAGAGTTAAGGAAACTGAAGGGAGGGAGTTGAGGAGTTTTCCCCCCTTTTGTACCAGTGCCCTTGGACTGGGTTTAACTGAGGCATCTGTGTGAGGTGAAGTGATTTTCAGTAGATTCCACAGCCAGTCAATACTGATGAGTCATTTCACTAGTAAATAGGGTGTTGATAGTGTTGGGAGAGCCCCCTTCAAGGTAAGAGTGCGGCAGGTGAGAGCTGGGATTGTCAGTGCCCATCCTGTGTGTGGAGCATGTTGGTTCCCTCGCATGTCCATCAAATGCCTCCTTCAGGCATCAACCTCTTGGAGCCTCTGCAGTGTTTTCCCTGGCAGAGTGCTGCAGTTGTGTGGAATGATGCAGGGGCTGGGTAAAGGCAAAGGGTAGGTAATTTTCAGGCAGATTGACTCATGGAGAAAACTGATGGATTTTTAACAGCCTGGGACAGTTTCTGGCTCCTCTTGTACCTCTTAGTCATACTAATTTCTTCTGCAGGCTGCTGCTGCTCAACAGATTCCCATTTCCCTCCACACATCCTTACAGGCCCAAGCTCAGCTTGGGCTGAGGGGTGGTCTGCCTGTTTCCCAGTCCCAGGAGATGTACAGCTCCATACAGCCCTTCAGGTAACTGCTTTCGGTTTTCATTTCCTTGTGGCTTGCTCTCTTATGTTCCTGATGTCTGTGTGCATTGATCAGATATTTCACACTTACCTTTTCTTTCCTGTTAGTTGGAGTGATGTTTCCTTTCACCTGGGCAGTGTTAATAGGGGAGAGCATGAGAGTGAAGTATCAGAATTAGTCCTTCAGTGCCTCAAAAACCTAAACACTGAGGTTTAAAAAAAAAAAATTTTTTTTCTTTTTTTGCTAAGAATTTTGGAATCTTTAATTTCTGATTTTTTTTCTGCTTTGCAAAACTACTGCAGACTTCTGGTAACCTGAATCCTTCTTTAACTGCTTCTCCAAAGGTTGTTGTGCAGGATATTGAAACATAAATTTTGGATACTACACAATGTTGTTCTGTTGAATATTCCTGCAACACAAGGACACGGTTGTAAAGGCTTAAAAGTGGAAATAAAAAACTCTTGTAACTAAAATGGAAAGTGGTATCACAGCTTATTTCTAAGCTGTCAGTTTAGTAGTCTGAGAACTGATGGCAGGCCAGATTTGTTTTGACAGGGTGTGTTTGTATAGTCTCCAAAAGTTTTCTGCGTAATGACTTGAGCGTGTTTCTCTTCTGCAGGTCTCAGGTGTATATGCACCCCAGTCTGTCTCAGCCCAGCACCATGGTCCTGACAGGAGGCACTGCTCTGAAGCCTCCCTACTCTGCCTTCCCAGGCATGCAGCCCTTGGAGGTGGTGAAAACCCAGTCTGGGTCCCCCTATCAGCCCATGAACGGAAGCCAGACACTGGTTTATGAAGGGCAGATAAACCAGGCTGGTATGGGAGCCTCCCAGATGATGGACTCTCAGCTCACCCAGGTTAGGAGCAGGGCTGGCCAGCCACTCTCTTGTCCAGGCTTTTTCACAGCCACTTGTCTCTGAGAATGGGTTGAAATGGTATTTGTCCTGATTCATGTGTCTGTGTGAACTGAACTCTTTGCAAAGAGGCAGAAGATTTCCCTGAGACACCCTGTTCTGTGAACCATTGTTTTAGACATGCAGCACCTTATTTAATGAGATTCCTGCTAATGCCTTGTCTGTCCCTGCTGAGATGTGATTTTGTAAGTCGGGAGTCAAACCTTGCAGTGCTGCCTGCATAGCAGTTGTCCTAAAAGTACCTCTTCTGAAAGCCAAATCCCAGTCATCTCCATGTTTAACTCAGCTTCCAGAGTAACTAGGAACTTGTTTTAAAGGCTCATCCGTCTTCTCAGTTCATTTCTTATCCAAGTCTTATTTACAACTTCTGCTGATCTGTTTGGCAGAAACTTAACAAGAATTTCAATGTGTGAAAAAGTTTTTCTAAAGCATGGTTCACATAAAGACATTGAATCCTACTGTGAGCTTAACTGTGTTTGTGGGCATGTGCTGCGAATTCTGGAGAAGTTTGATTCTTTTATTAAACTCATCTTAATGTTTGTTTTGTGCAACATGTTAAGGTTTATTTTTTGTTTCAGAGGGATTTTTATGTTGTGACTGACGTAAAGAGTTAATCCTGAAAGTAACTTAGGTGAGGAAAATACAGAGAATATTGGCAAACTAAATATTTGAAGAAATGGCCTATCAATCATCAGCGAGTAACTTGATCTCTTTTGCCAGCCTTTGATTGATATATTTATTTATTCCAGAATGTTGTCTTAGAAAGTCCCAAATCCAGCAACTGTTAGAAAATCAGAGGGAATGGGAGACAGTCCTGAGCTACATTATTTTTTTTAATTACTCTTAATTGCTGCCGTCATTGGTTTGAAGCTCACTGCAGAACATAGATCTGAGCTCCTTGTCACTTTTTGGGGACTGAACCCTAGAGACTGTTTTGGTGTGAAAGTATAGGAGACTTTCTGGTTTGGGCAGCAAAGGTGCAAACAAAATGTGTGACCTGAGCTGTCTGACATTGCCATCATATCAAGGGAAGATACACCCATGCAGTGACCACAAGGAGAACTGAGAAACTGGGCTCTAGACAAGGAGGAAAGCCCTGTATCCAAATGCAGTTATGTTAACTTAATGGCATGTTAAAAGCCCAACTGATAAGGGTGTTGGCAGCACTGCCAGAACATCCATTTCAGTGTGAAAGTCCCTCTTTTGGTGATTTGTATTTATTCTGTGCCAGTCTGCACTGCTTGGGAGCTTCCTTTTAGCAGTGCTGTGCTTTCAGGGTGTTGGGAGGCAGTGTGTCAGACACAAGACTGTTGCTGCCATTAAGGTAACTGCGTGTCCTTGTCACACAGCTGACAATGCCTGTGCCTGGCTCTCAGCTCCCTCTGCCCCGCTACGGCTCTGGCCAGCAGCCCCTGCTTCTACCACAGTCCATCCAGCTTCCTCAGGGGCAAAACCTGCCTGTGGGAGCTCCCCGAAGAATCCTGCCTCCTGGATCCCAGCCTTCTGTCCTTGCTGCCAGCAGGGAGGTAAGGATTAACTCCTGGTGCTCATCGGAGCATTCAGTAACCCCTTCTGTGTTGAAGTTTTGCTCCTTGTTAAGGGGGAGAACAGCTTGTTTGGGATCCTTAAACATCCAAGCCAAGAATTGTGTTAAACTGAAGGAGCCCTTTACCCCACATCTCCAGCGTTCAGGCCAGCAGTTTTCAGGTTTTGCTGCTGGTCACCATTCTGTTTCCAGGGAGCCACATCCTGCCTTGATCCGGTTTGGAGTCTCCAGTTTTATTACATGTTTACACAGGTTTCCCCAGAGTGCTTGAGGGGTGGTGAGCTCCAGACACAGTTGGAATACTGCCCAGATATTTCACTCTGTTGTGAAGCTTGTCCATTTGAGTAGGTATATTAATGTCATGTCTGGTTTGATGGATTCATATCATAAGTTTGTCTGTTATAGGGGAGAGAGAGCATAGTAATTAACTTCCAGGTTCTGTATTTGCTTGTGCTGCTGGCTTGGTGGTTTAATACAAACAGATTATTTCACTTACAAGCCTCACTTTCTTCACCTGAAAAATATTTCTTTTAATAGGCACGATGGGGAGAAGGGCAAAGATTTGGTTTAAGTGTTTATCTGAAGTAACAAGTGACTTCTGAATGCAAAGATGATACTCTCTCTCACTCATTTTCCTCTGTAGTCCTCCCAGATGGAAATGAAAGGGTTTCATTTCTCCGATGGTAAACAGAGTATGTCCTCTGGAGGGTCTGTACCATCACCACATACCTACAGGTGAGATGTTTACACCACTTGGGCTCTGTAGTCAGGATGGGGGAGAAACAGCGTCTCCCTTTGCAGGGATGTGGTTTATGTATCACCTCTGTACAAGATCCACTTGGGTTTTCAGGTGTGGACTGTGCTTACTGCAGTCCAAATACGTGTAGCAAAATGCAT